AGCAGCATGTATAGTGTTCAGAAAACTGTCATATTGATAGCTCCCCTTCGTTACCCCAAGTCAACAGATATAATGTTCTCTAAGCCCATCGAATCTGCTAACGAAAATCTGGGACTGTTACTGAGTTATCGCTACTATCGTACTTCCATTCAATGCTAAATGTAATTGTTTTGGGTGGTCGCTAGCACCCAGTTCCTCTGAAATTTCTAATTATTAACAAGGGATTCATTGTTTGCCAGAACTAAGTCAGCAGGTTATTACCCCTTTTAGGTTCTGTCACAAACTGCTTCAAAAAAAAATCCTGAACTACTTCTAAGAAGTCGTATGATTCAAATTCCCAGTCAAGAAATTCCAATCAATATGACTAAAGTTAAAGTCTCCCAGAAATTTCTACATTATCGTGCCTTGTGGCCTTAACAATTTTCCCCCCATAGTAGTCTCCCTTGGTCCCTATCTAATTTGGGACGGTATATCACTCCTAAAATCAGTTTTTCATGCCCCTCTGAAAATTCTATCCAAACAGACTCTGTATGTGTTTTCTTCAGACTTAATACCCGTTTTTATGCAACAGTTCAAGCGATCTCGGACATACAATGCCCCCCCCCACCCCCCTTCCCGATACTTCTATCTACTTGGAACAATTTAAAACCCTGAATATGACATCCGCAGGCATGTCCCGACTTTTTGAATTAAACCACGTCTCAGTTAAGGCAAATACATCAATGTTACCTGCACTAGCAACTAATCTCAACTCGTCCATCTTATTCCTAGCACTACGGCAATTAGCATAATAAACATTGAAAGACTCTCCTTTCTCTTTACCCTTCCTGCTCATTTCTGTTTTTCTACTAAACCTATTACTGTCCTTATCACCCAAAGTCCCTGGCTTTTCAATATCTACCTCGTTCTGCTTATTACTAGTTCCCCTAGAACTCGTAATATTACTACACTGGGACTTCACTGTTTTCCTGCCAAAACCCATACCACTAACTATTCCTAGTTTAAAGTCCTAACTGCTCCCTCCACTGCAGTTGCCAGTGCTACCACCCCAGACCTAGGTAAGTGAACCCCATCCCTGGCATACATGTCATTTCTGCCATAGAAGAGGTCCCAGTTGTCAATGAATGTTACCGCATTTTCCTTACAGTATTTGTCCAGCCAGCAATTGACACCAATTGCCCTGGACAACCATCCATTTCCAACTCCTCTCCTAGAGTAGTTCTGAAGGTACCTACCTGGTCTGCTGAACTCCCTGGTACATCCTACAGTAGTTCTGAAGGTACCTACCTGGTCTGCTGAACTCCCTGGTACATCCTACAGTAGTTCTGAAGGTACCTACCTGGTCTGCTGAACTCCCTGGTACATCTACAGTAGTTCTGAAGGTACCTACCTGGTCTGCTGAACTCCCTGGTACACCCTACAGTAGTTCTGAAGGTACCTACCTGGTCTGCTGAACTCCCTGGTACATCCTACCGTAATTCTGAAGGTACCTATCTGGTCTGCTGAACTCCCTGGTACACCCTACAGTAGTTCTGAAGGTACGTACCTGGTCTGCTGAACTCCCTGGTACATCCTACCGCAGTCCTGAAGGTACGTACCTGGTCTGCTGAACTCCCTGGTACATCCTACCGTAGTCCTGAAGGTACGTACCTGGTCTGCTGAACTCCCTGGTACAGCCTACCGTAGTCCTGAAGGTACGTACCTGGTCTGCTGAACTCCCTGGTACATCCTACCGTAGTCCTGAAGGTACGTACCTGGTCTGCTGAACTCCCTGGTACATCCTACAGTAGTTCTGAAGGTACCTACCTAGTCTGCTGAACTCCCTGGTACATCCTACAGTAGTTCTGAAGGTACCTACCTGGTCTGCTGAACTCCCTGGTACATCTTACAGTAGTTCTGAAAGTACCTACCTGGTCTGCTGAACTCCCTGATACATCTTACAGTAGTTCTGAAGGTACCTACCTGGTCTGCTGAACTCCCTGGTACATCCTACAGTAGTTCTGAAGGAACCTACCTGGTCTGCTGAACTCCCTGGTACATCCTACAGTAGTTCTGAAGGTACCTACCTGGTCTGCTGAACTCCCTGGTACATCCTACAGTAGTTCTGAAGGTACCTACCTGGTCTGCTGAACTCCCTGGTCCTACAGTAGTTCTGAAGGTACCTACCTGGTCTGCTGAACTCCCTGGTACATCCTACAGTAGTCATGAAGGTACCTACCTGGTCTGCTGAACTCCCTGGTACTTCCTACAGTAGTTCTGAAGGTACCTACCTGGTCTGCTGAACTCCCTGGTCATACAGTAGTTCTAAAGGTACCTACCTGGTCTGCTGAACTCCCTGGTCGTACAGTAGTTCTGAAGGTACCTACCTGGTCTGCTGAACTCCCTGGTACATCCTACAGTAGTTCTGAAGGTACCTACCTGGTCTGCTGAACTCCCTGGTCGTACAGTAGTTCCGAAGGTACCTACCTGGTCTGCTGAACTCCCTGGTCATACAGTAGTTCTGAAGGTACCTACCTGGTCTGCTGAACTCCCTGGTACATCCTACAGTAGTTCTGAAGGAACCTACCTGGTCTGCTGAACTCCCTGGTACATCCTACAGTAGTTCTGAAGGTACCTACCTGGTCTGCTGAACTCCCTGGTACATCCTACAGTAGTTCTGAAGGTACCTACCTGGTCTGCTGAACTCCCTGGTCCTACAGTAGTTTTGAAGGTACCTACCTGGTCTGCTGAACTCCCTGGTACATCCTACAGTAGTCCTGAAGGTACCTACCTGGTCTGCTGAACTCCCTGGTACATCCTACAGTAGTTCTGAAGGTACCTACCTGGTCTGCTGAACTCCCTGGTACATCCTACAGTAGTTCTGAAGGTGCCTACCTAGTCTGCTGAACTCCCTGGTACATCCTACAGTAGTTCTGAAGGTACCTACCTGGTCTGCTGAACTCCCTGGTACATCCTACAGTAGTTCTGAAGGTACGTACCTGGTCTGCTGAACTCCCTGGTACATCCTACAGTAGTTCTGAAGGTACCTACCTGGTCTGCTGAACTCCCTGGTACATCCTACAGTAGTTCTGAAGGTACCTACCTGGTCTGCTGAACTCCCTGGTACATCCTACAGTAGTTCTGAAGGAACCTACCTGGTCTGCTGAACTCCCTGGTACATCCTACAGTAGTTCTGAAGGAACCTACGTGGTCTGCTGAACTCCCTGGTACATCCTACAGTAGTTCTGAAGGTACCTACCTGGTCTGCTGAACTCCATGGTACATCCTACAGTAGTTCTGAAGGTACCTACCTGGTCTGCTGAACTCCCTGGTACATCCTACAGTAGTTCTGAAGGTACCTACCTGGTCTACTGAACTCCCTGGTACATCCTACAGAAAGTTCTGAAGGAACCTACCTGGTCTGCTGAACTCCCTGGTACATCCTACAGTAGTTCTGAAGGAACCTATGTGGTCTGCTGAACTCCCTGGTACATCCTACAGTAGTTCTGAAGGTACCTACCTGGTCTGCTGAACTCCCTGGTACATCCTACAGTAGTTCTGAAGGTACCTACCTGGTCTGCTGAACTCCCTGGTCATACAGTAGTTCTGAAGGTAACTACCTGGTCTGCTGAACTCCCTGGTACATCCTACAGTAGTTCTGAAGGTACCTACCTGGTCTGCTGAACTCCCTGGTACATCCTACAGTAGTTCTGAAGGTACCTACCTGGTCTGCTGAACTCCCTGGTACATCCTACAGTAGTTCTGAAGGAACCTACCTGGTCTGCTGAACTCCCCTGGTACATCCTACAGTAGTTCTGAAGGTACCTACCTGGTCTGCTGAACTCCCTGGTACATCCTACAGTAGTTCTGAAGGTACCTACCTGGTCTGCTGAACTCCCTGGTACATCCTACAGTAGTTCTGAAGGTGCCTACCTAGTCTGCTGAACTCCCTGGTACATCCTACAGTAGTTCTGAAGGTACCTACCTGGTCTGCTGAACTCCCTGGTACATCCTACAGTAGTTCTGAAGGTACGTACCTGGTCTGCTGAACTCCCTGGTACATCCTACAGTAGTTCTGAAGGTACCTACCTGGTCTGCTGAACTCCCTGGTACATCCTACAGTAGTTCTGAAGGTACCTACCTGGTCTGCTGAACTCCCTGGTACATCCTACAGTAGTTCTGAAGGAACCTACCTGGTCTGCTGAACTCCCTGGTACATCCTACAGTAGTTCTGAAGGAACCTACGTGGTCTGCTGAACTCCCTGGTACATCCTACAGTAGTTCTGAAGGTACCTACCTGGTCTGCTGAACTCCATGGTACATCCTACAGTAGTTCTGAAGGTACCTACCTGGTCTGCTGAACTCCCTGGTACATCCTACAGTAGTTCTGAAGGTACCTACCTGGTCTACTGAACTCCCTGGTACATCCTACAGTAGTTCTGAAGGAACCTACCTGGTCTGCTGAACTCCCTGGTACATCCTACAGTAGTTCTGAAGGAACCTATGTGGTCTGCTGAACTCCCTGGTACATCCTACAGTAGTTCTGAAGGTACCTACCTGGTCTGCTGAACTCCCTGGTACATCCTACAGTAGTTCTGAAGGTACCTACCTGGTCTGCTGAACTCCCTGGTCATACAGTAGTTCTGAAGGTAACTACCTGGTCTGCTGAACTCCCTGGTACATCCTACAGTAGTTCTGAAGGTACCTACCTGGTCTGCTGAACTCCCTGGTACATCCTACAGTAGTTCTGAAGGTACCTACCTGGTCTGCTGAACTCCCTGGTACATCCTACAGTAGTTCTGAAGGAACCTACCTGGTCTGCTGAACTCCCTGGTACATCCTACAGTAGTTCTGAAGGTACCTACCTGGTCTGCTGAACTCCCTGGTACATCCTACAGTAGTTCTGAAGGTACCTACCTGGTCTGCTGAACTCCCTGGTACATCCTACAGTAGTTCTGAAGGTACCTACCTGGTCTGCTGAACTCCCTGGTACATCCTACAATAGTTCTGAAGGTACCTACCTGGTCTGCTGAACTCCCTGGTACATCCTACAGTAGTTCTGAAGGGACATTTGAACTTTTTAGCCTCGTGGATCAACATGTGACGCTTGAGTTTGTCTCTGCGGTTGAAGGAGGTCTTGCACAGGTGACACTCGAACGGCTTTTCACCAGTGTGGATCAACTGGTGCAACTTGAGCGAGTACTCTGACTTGAACTTTTTGGAACATTGCTGCAAATGTAGGGTTTCGTCAGTCGTTTGTGAGGGGTCATTCACGAGGGGGTGATGTTATTGGTTTAATGGAGGGTGTTGGGTGGTGGTTCAGGTGGAAGTGGTGGGAATGGTGGTAGCAGACAGAGGCTGAGGTGAGAGGGGGTCAGTCCCTGTTTGTTGTTGTGGTGGACTAAGGTAATCAGTCCCTGTTTATTGTGATGCTGGTGCTAGTTTGAGGGTGTCAGTCCCTGAGTGTTGTGGCAGGCCTAAGATAATGAACAAATTGTACAATACTCAGAGATGAACAAACTGTACCATATTAACACAGGTAAACAAATTGTACCATATTAACACAGATGAATAAATTATACCATACTCAAAGAACTGAACAAATTGTATCATATTAGCATGAAGAAATTGTACCACATTAACACATGAACAAATTGTACCCTATTTAACACAGGTTAACAAATTATATCATACTCACAGCACATGTGAACAAATTAACTGTTCCATGGATGTGGAGGTGCCGTCGCAGCAATCGTTCAGATGTGAACACTTTTCCACACTGCTTGCATGGATAGTGATGGGAGGATGTACGAAGGTGGTGTTCCAAGGCCTCGGCACTGGCGTATTTGTTCATGCACTTGGTACAACGGAAGTAACTGAAAGAGTTGGACAATTTGAGGTTATGTGGAGGTTGTTCAGGTACAATGGTGAGTACTATGAGAAGAATGAGTTAATACCATGACTGGAACAATGTACTGACAATGCCATGACTGGAACAATGTAATGACAGTACCATGACTGGAACATCCTGACACCACGGCTGGAACAATGTACGGACAATACCATGGCTAGAACAACATCCTGACATCACGGCTGGAACAATGTACAGACAATACCATGGCTAGAACAACATCCTGACATCACGGCTGGAACAATGTACGGACAATACCATGGCTGGAACATCCTGACACCATGGCTGGAACAATGTATGGACAATACCATGACTGGAACAGTGTACTAGAACAATGTACTGACACCATGGTTGGAACAATGTACTGACAATACCATGGATGGAACAATGTAAGGTAAACTAACGTAGTGTGAGGTAGACTAACCTGGAGTGAGGTAGACTAACCTGGAGTGAGGCAGACTAACCTGGAGTGAGGTAGACTAACCTGGGGTGAGGCAGACTAACCTGGGGTGAGGTAGACTAACCTGGGGTGAGGCAGAATAACCTGGGGTGAGGTAGACTAACCTGGGGTGAGGCAGACTAACCTGGGGTGAGGTAGACTAACCTGGGGTAAGGCAGACTAACCAGGGGTGTGGTAGACTAACCTGGGGTGAGGCAGACTAACCTGGGGTGAGGTAGACTAACCTGGGGTGAGGCAGACTAACCTGGGGTGAGGCAGACTAACCTGGAGTGAGGCAGACTAACCTGGAGTGAGGTAGACCAACCTGGAGTGAGGTAGACTAACCTGGAGTGAGGTAGACTAACCTGGAGTGAGGTAGACCAAACTGGAGTGAGGCAGACTAACCTGGAGTGAGGTTGACTAACCTGGAGTGAGGTAGATTAACCTGGAGTGAGGCAGACTAACCTGGAGTGAGGTAGACTAACCTGGAGTGAGGCAGACTAACCTGTGGTGTGTCAGACTAACCTGGAGTGAGGTAGACTAACCTGGAGTGAGGCAGACTAACCTGGGAGTGAGGCAGACTAACCTGGACAGAGGTAGACTAACCTGGAGTGAGGTAGACTAACTTGGGGTGAGGCAGACTAACCTGGAGTGAGGTAGACTAACCTGGGGTGAGGTAGACTAACCTGGAGTGAGGTAGATTAACCTGGAGTGAGATAGATTAACCTGGAGTGAGGTAGACTAACCTGGAGTGAGGTAGACTAACCTGGAGTGAGGTAAACTAACCTCGAGTGAGGTAGACTAATCTGGGAGTGAGGCAGACTAACCTGGAGTGAGGCAGACTAACCTGGGAGTGAGGCAGACTAACCTGGACAGAGGTAGACTAACCTGGAGTGAGGTAGACTAAATTGGGGTGAGGCAGACTAACCTGGAGTGAGGTAGACTAACCTGAACAGAGGAAGACTAACCTGGAGTGAGGTAGACTAACTTGGGGTGAGGCAGACTAACCTGGAGTGAGGTAGACTAACCTGGGGTGAGGAAGACTAACCTGGAGTGAGGCAGATTAACCTGGAGTGAGGTAGACTAACCTGGAGTGAGGTAGACTAACCTGGAGTGAGGTAGACTAACCTGGGGTGAGGTAGACTAACCTAAGGTGAGGTAGACTAACCTGGGGTGAGGCAGACTAACCTGGGGTGAAGTAGACTAACCTGGGAGTGAGGTAGACTAACCTGGGGTGACACAGACTAACCTGGGGTGAGGTTGACTAACCTGGAGTGAGATAGACTAACCTGGGAGTGAGGTGGAATAACCTGGAGTGAGGTAGACTAACCTGGAGTGAGGTAGACTAACCTGAACTGAGGTACACTAACCTGGGGTGAGGTAGACTAACCAGGGGTGAGGTAGACTAGCCTGGGGTAAGGCAGACTAACCTGGGGTGAGGTATACTAACCTGGGGTGAGGTTGACTAACCTGGAGTGAGGTAGACTAACCTGGGATGAGGCAGACTAACCTGGGGTGAGGTAGACTAACCTGAACTGAGGTAGACTAACCTGGGGTGAGGTAGACTAACCTAGGGTGAAGTAGACTAACCTGGGGTAAGGTAGACTAACCTGGAGTGAGGCAGACTAACCTGGGGTGAGGTAGACCATCCTGGAGTTAGGTAGACTAACCTGGAGGTGAGGTAGACTAACCTGGAGTGATGTAGACTAACCTGTGGGTGAGGTAGACTAACCTGGAGTGAGGAAGAGTAACCTGGAGTGAGGTAGACTAACCTGGGAGTGAGGTAGACTAACCTGGGGTGAGGCAGATTAACCTGTGGGTGAGGTAGACTAATCTGGGGTGAGGTAGACTAACCTAGAGTGAGGCAGGCTAACCTGAAGTGAGGAAGAGTAACCTGGAGTAAGGTAGACTAACCTGGGAGTGAGATAGACTAATCTGGAGTGAGGTAGACTAACTTGTAGTGAGGTAGACTAACCTGGGAGTGAGGTAGACTACCTGGAGTGAGGTAGACTAAGCTGGGGTGAGGTAGACTAACCTGGAGTGAGGAAGACTAACCTGGAGTGAGGTAGAATAACCTGGAGTGAGGCAGACTAATCTGGAGTGAGGTAGACTAACCTGGAGTGAGGCAGACTAACCTGGGGTGAGGTAGACTAACCTGGAGCGAGGTAGACTAACATCTAGTGAGGTAGACTAACCTGGGGGTGAGGTAGACTAACCTGAACTGAGGTAGACTAGCCTGGGGTGAGGTAGACTAACCTGGGGTGAGGCCGACTAACCTGGGGTGAGGTAGACTAATCTGGGGTGAGGTAGACTAACCTGGAGTGAGGTAGACTAACCTGGAGTGAGGTAGACTAACCTAGAGTGAGGTAGACTAACCTGGAGTGAGGTAGACTAACCTGCAGGTGAGGTAGACTAACCTGGAGTGAGGTAGACTAACCTGCAGGTGAGGTAGACTAACCTGGAGTGAGGTAGACCAACCTGGAGTGAGGAAGAGTAACCTGGAGTGAGGTAGACTACCCTGGGAGTGAGGTAGACTAACCTGGAGTGAGATAGACTAACCTGGAGTGAGGTAGACTAACCTGTAGTGAGGTAGACTAAGATGGGAGTGAGGCAGACTAATCAGGAGTGAGGTAGACTAACCTGGGGGTGAGGTAGACTAACCTGGAGTGAGGCAGACTAACCTAGGGGTGAGGTAGACTAACCTGGGGTAAGGTAGACTAACCTGGAGTGATGTAGACTAACCTGGGGTGAGTTAGACTAACCTGGAGTGAGGTAGACTAACCTCAGGTGAGGTAGACTAACCTGGGGTGAGGTAGACTAACCTGGAGTGAGGTAGACTAACCTGTAGTGAGGTAGACTACCTGTAGTGAGGTAGACTAACCTGTAGTGAGGTAGACTAACCTGGAGTGAGGTAGACTAACCTGGAGTGAGGTAGACTAACCTGGAGTGAGGTAGATTAACCTGGAGTGAGGTAGACTAACCTGGAGTGAGGTAGACTAACCTGGAGTGAGGTAGACTACCTGGAGTGAGGTAGACTAACCTGGAGTGAGGTAGACTAACCTGGAGTGAGGTAGACTAACATGGGGGTGAGGTAGACTAACCTGGAGTGAGGTAGACTAACCTGTAGTGAGGTAGACTAACCTGTAGTGAGGTAGACTAACCTGGAGTGAGGTAGACTAACCTGGAGTGAGGTAGACTAACCTGGAGTGAGGTAGACTAACCTGGAGTGAGGTAGACTAACCTGGAGTGAGGTAGACTAACCTGGAGTGAGGTAGACCAACCTGGAGTGAGGTAGACTAACCTGGAGTGAGGTAGACTAACCTGGGACCCAGGGTCTTCTTGGGCTTGGGGTAGACGGAGTGTTCATACTGGTGGTATCCCAGAGTGTTCAGGGAGGTGAACAACTTGGAACAAGTGTGGCAGCGGTATTGTAGTTCATCGCGGTCGTGTGAACGAATGTGTTCCAGAAAGTTGTCCAGCTCCTCAAATACCACCTCACACTTCTTCTGGATGCATTTGTACACCTGGAACACATGGTACAATGTACACTTGGAACACATGGTACAATGTACACCTGGAAGACATGGTACAATGTACACCTAGAACACATGGTACAATGTACACTTGGAACACATGGTATAATGTACACCTGGAAGACATGGTACAATGTACACCTGGAAGACATGGTACAATGTACACTTGGAACACATGGTACAATGTACACTTGGAACACATGGTACAATGTACACTTGGAAGACATGGTACAATGTACACTTGGAACACATGGTACAATGTACACTTGGAACACATGGTACAATGTACACCTGGAAGACATGGTACAATGTACACCTGGAAGACATGGTACAATGTACACTTGGAACACATGGTACAATGTACACTTGGAACACATGGTACAATGTACACTTGGAAGACATGGTACAATGTACACTTGGAACACATGGTACAATGTACACTTGGAACACATGGTACAATGTACACCTGGAAGACATGGTACAATGTACACCTGGAAGACATGGTACAATGTACACTTGGAACACATGGTACAATGTACACTTGGAACACATGGTACAATGTACACTTGGAACACATGGTACAATGTACACTTGGAACACATGGTACAATGTACACTTGGAACACATGGTACAATGTACACCTGGAAGACATGGTACAATGTACACCTGGAAGACATGGTACAATGTACACCTGGAACACATGGTACAATGTACACTTGGAACACATGGTACAATGTACACTTGGAACACATGGTACAATGTACACTTGGAAGACATGGTACAATGTACACTTGGAACACATGGTACAATGTACACTTGGAACACATGTTACAATGTACACCTGGAAGACATGGTACAATGTACACTTGGAACACATGGTACAATGTACACTTGGAACACATGGTACAATGTACACTTGGAAGACATGGTACAATGTACACTTGGAACACATGGTACAATGTACACTTGGAACACATGGTACAATGTACACCTGGAAGACATGGTACAATGTACACCTGGAAGACATGGTACAATGTACACCTGGAACACATGGTACAATGTACACTTGGAACACATGGTACAATGTACACTTGGAACACATGGTACAATGTACACTTGGAACACATTGTACAATGTACACTTGGAACACATGGTACAATGTACACTTGGAACACATGGTACAATGTACACTTGGAACACATGGTACAATGTACACTTGGAACACATGGTACAATGTACACTTGGAACACATGGTACAATGTACACTTGGAACACATGGTACAATGTACACTTGGAACACATGATACAATGTACACTTGGAACACATGGTACAATGTACACTTGGAAGACATGGTACAATGAACACTTGGAAGACATGATACAATGTACACCTGGAAGACATGGTACAATGTACACTTGGAACACATGGTACAATGTACACTTGGAACACATGGTACAATGTACACTTGGAACACATGGTACAATGAACACTTGGAAGACATGGTACAATGTACACTTGTAAGACATGGTACAATGTACACTTGGAAGACATGGTACAATGTACACTTGGAAGACATGGTACAATGAACACTTGGAAGACATGGTACAATGTACACTTGGAACACATGGTGCAATGTACACTTGGAAGACATGGTACAATGAACACTTGGAAGACATGGTACAATGTACACTTGGAAGACATGGTACAATGTACACTTGGAAGACATGGTACAATGTACACTTGGAAGACATGGTACAATGTACACCTGGAACACATAGTACAATATACAAGTTGAAAATATCGTAACCTGAACCATTCTGATGGTACTAACACTCAGGTGAGAGTTCATACCAGACAGTACTCACCTTCTGATGGTACTAACACTCAGGTGAGAGTACATACCAGACAGTACTCACCTTCTGATGGTACTAACACTCAGGTGAGAGTACATACCAGACAGTACTCACCTTCTGATGGTACTAACACTCAGGTGAGAGTACATACCAGACAGCACTCACCTTCTGATGGTACTAACACTCAGGTAAGAGTACATACCAGACAGTACTCACCTTCTGATGGTACTAACACTCAGGTGAGAGTACATACCAGAGAGTACTCACCTTCTGATGGTACTAACACTCAGGTGAGAGTACATACCAGACAGCACTCACCTTCTGATGGTACTAACACTCAGGTAAGAGTACATACCAGACAGTACTCACCTTCTGATGGTACTAACACTCAGGTAAGAGTACATACCAGACAGTACTCACCTTCTGATGGTACTAACACTCAGGTGAGAGTACATACCAGAGAGTACTCACCTTCTGATGGTACTAACACTCAGGTGAGAGTACATACCAGACAGCACTCACCTTCTGATGGTACTAACACAGGTGAGAGTACATACCAGACAGCACTCACCTTCTGATGGTACTAACACTCAGGTGAGAGTACATACCAGACAGTACTCACCTTCTGATGGTACTAACACTCAGGTAAGAGTACATACCAGACAGTACTCACCTTCTGATGGTACTAACACTCAGGTGAGAGTACATACCAGACAGTACTCACCTTCTGATGGTACTAACACAGGTGAGAGTACATACCAGACAGCACTCGCCTTCTGATGGTACTAACACTCAGGTAATAGTACATACCAGAGAGTACTCACCTTCTGATGGTACTAACACTCAGGTAAGAGTACATATCAGACAGTACTCACCTTCTGATTGGCGTGGAGCTTCATATGAGTCCTGAGTACAACATAACTCTCAAGTGAGAGTCCACAGAACTGACACACATAAGAGTTGTCCACTAGAACCTCTTCCTTGAGAACTCCTTCTTCCAAGAGTTCTATCTGGGGCACGATCTGATGGGCAAGAAAGACTTATTAGGTGTTATCTGATCAGCAAGCGTACTAAGATCAGTATTAGGCACTATCTGATGGGCACTATCTGAGAGGCCAGAGTACTAAGGAATAGTCTGATGGGTAAGAGTACTAAGCAACAATCTGATGGGTAAGAGTACTAACCCTTTGACTATTTCCTTTGTATATATACGTCTTACGAGCCCCCGTGTTTGACGTATATATACTCAATAATTCTAGCGGCTTCAAATCAAGCAGCAGAAAGCTGGTTGGCCCACATGTGAGAGAATGAGTCCGTGTGGTCGGTGCGCACCATTTAAAAAAATCCTGCAGCAAGCAGTGCATTATGAGAAAAAAAACTCCGACCGAGCTTTTTGGACCCTGGAGAGTCTGGGGAGGCCTGAAGAGGCCTGGGGGACCCTGGAGAGTCTGGGGAGGCCTGAAGAGGCCTGGGGGACCCTGGAGAGTCTGGGGAGGCCTGAAGAGGCCTGGGGGACCCTGGAGAGTCTGGGGAGGCCTGAAGAGGCTTGGGGGGCCGTGGAGAGTCTGGGGAGGCCTGAAGAGGCCTGGGGGACCCTGGAGAGTCTGGGGAGGCCTGAAGAGGCCTGGGGGACCCTGGAGAGTCTGGGGAGGCCTGAAGAGGCTTGGGGGGCCGTGGAGAGTCTGGGGAGGCTGAAAGAGGCCTGGGGGACCTGGAGAGTCTGGGGAGGCCTAGAAGAGGCCTGGGGGGACCCCGGAGAGTCTGGGGAGGCCTGAAGAGGCTGGGGGACCCTGGAGAGTCTGGGGAGGCCTGAAGAGGCCTGGGGGACCCTGGAGAGTTCTGGGGAGGCCTGAAGAGGCCTGGCGGACCCTGGAGAGTCTGGGGAGGCCTGAAGAGGCCTGGGGGACCCTGGAGAGTCTGGGGAGGCCTGAAGAGGCCTGGGGGACCCTGGAGAGTCTGGGGAGGCCTGAAGAGGCCTGGGGGACCCTGGAGAGTCTGGGGAGGCCTGAAGAGGCCTGGGGGACCCCGGAGAGTCTGGGGAGGCCTGAAGAGGCCTGGCGGACCCTGGAGAGTCTGGGGAGGCCTGAAGAGGCCTGGGGGACCTGGAGAGTCTGGGGAGGCCTGAAGAGGCCTGGGGGACACCTGGAGGAGTCTGGGGAGGCCTGAAGAGGCCTGGGGGACCCTGGAGAGTCTGGGGAGGCCTGAAGAGGCCTGGCGGACCCTGGAGAGTCTGGGGAGGCCTGAAGAGGCCTGGGGGACCCTGGAGAGTCTGGGGAGGCCTGAAGAGGCCTGGGGGACCCTGGAGGTCTGGGGAGGCTGAAGAGGCCTGGGGGACCCTGGAGAGTCTGGGGAGGCCTGAAGAGGCCTGGGGGACCCCGGAGAGTCTGGGGAGGCCTGAAGAGGCCTGGCGGACCTGGAGAGTCTGGGGAGGCCTGAAGAGGACTGGGGGACCCTGGAGAGTCTGGGGAGGCCTGAAGAGGCCTGGGGGACCCTGGAGAGTCTGGGGAGGCCTGAAGAGGCCTGGGGGACCCTGGAGAGTCTGGGGAGGCCTGAGAGGCCTGGGGGACCTGGAGAGTCTGGGGAGGCCTGAAGAGGCCTGGGGGACCCTGGAGAGTCTGGGGAGGCCTGAAGAGGCTGGGGGACCCTGGAGAGTCTGGGGAGGCCTGAAGAGGCCTGGGGGACCCCGGAGAGTCTGGGGAGGCCTGAAGAGGCTGGGGGACCTGGAGAGTCTGGGGAGGCCTGAAGAGGCCTGGGGGACCCTGGAGAGTCTGGGGAGGCCTGAAGAGGCCTGGGGGACCCTGGAGAGTCTGGGGAGGCCTGAAGAGGCCTGGGGGACCTGGAGAGTCTGGGAAGGCCTGAAGAGGCCTGGGGGACCCTGGAGAGTCTGGGGAGGCCTGAAGAGGCCTGGGGGACCCGAGAGAGTCTGGGGAGGCCTGAAGAGGCCTGGGGGACCCTGGAGAGTCTGGGGAGGCCTGAAGAGGCCTGGGGGACCTGGAGAGTCTGGGGAGGCTGAGGAGGCTGGGGGACCCTGGAGAGTTGGGGAGGCCTGATGAGGCCTGGGGGCCCTGGAGAGCCTGGGGAGGCCTGAAGAGGCCTGGGGGACCCTGGAGAGTCTGGGGAGGCCTGAAGAGGCCTGGGGGACCCCGGAGAGTCTGGGGAGGCCTGAAGAGGCCTGGGGGACCCTGGAGAGTCTGGGGAGGCCTGAAGAGGCCTGGGGGACCCTGGAGAGTCTGGGGAGGCCTGAAGAGGCCTGGCGGACCCTGGAGAGTCTGGGGAGGCCTGAAGAGGCTGGGTGACCCTGGAGAGTCTGGGGAGGCCTGAAGAGGCCTGGGGACCCATGGAGGTCTGGGGAGGCCTGAAGAGGCCTGGGGGACCCTGGAGAGTCTGGGGAGGCCTGAAGAGGCTGGGGGGGACCCCGGAGAGTCTGGGGAGGCCTGAAGAGGCCTGGCGGACCCTGGAGAGTCTGGGGAGGCCTGAAGAGGACTTGGGGGACCCTGGAGAGTCTGGGGAGGCCTGAAGAGGCCTGGGGGACCCTGGAGAGTCTGGGGAGGCCTGAAGAGGCCTGGGGGACCCTGGAGAGTCTGGGGAGGCCTGAAGAGGCCTGGCGGACCCTGGAGAGTCTGGGGAGGCCTGAAGAGGCCTGGGGGACCCTGGAGAGTCTGGGGAGGCCTGAAGAGGCCTGGGGGACCCTGGAGAGTCTGGGGAGGCTGAAGAGGCCTGGGGGACCCTGGAGAGTCTGGGGAGGCCTGAAGAGGCCTGGGGACCCGGAGAGTCTGGGGAGGCTGAAGAGGCCTGGCGGACCCTGGAGAGTCTGGGGAGGCCTGAAGAGGCCTGGGGGACCCTGGAGAGTCTGGGGAGGCTGAAGAGGCCTGGGGGGACCTGGAGAGTCTGGGGAGGCCTGAAGAGGCCTGGGGGACCCTGGAGAGTCTGGGGAGGCCTGAAGAGGCCTGGGGGACCCTGGAGAGTCTGGGGAGGCCTGAAGAGGCCTGGGGGACCCTGGAGAGTCTGGGGAGGCCTGAAGAGGCCTGGGGGACCTGGAGAGTCTGGGGAGGCCTGAAGAGGCCTGGGGGACCCCGGAGAGGTCTGGGGAGGCCTGAAGAGGCCTGGGGACCCTGGAGAGTCTGGGGAGGCCTGAAGAGGCCTGGGGGACCTGGAGAGTCTGGGGAGGCCTGAAGAGGCCTGGGGGACCCTGGAGAGTCTGGGGAGGCCTGAAGAGGCCTGGGGGACCCTGGAGAGTCTGGGAAGGCTGAAGAGGCCTGGGGGACCCTGGAGAGTTGGGGAGGCCTGAAGAGGCCTGGGGGACCCGGAGAGTCTGGGGAGGCCTGAAGAGGCCTGGGGGACCCTGGAGAGTCTGGGGAGGCCTGAAGAGGCCTGGGGGGACCGGAGAGTCTGGGGAGGCCTGAAGAGGCCTGGGGGACCCGGAGAGTCTGGGGAGGGCCTGAAGAGGCCTGGGGGACCCTGGATGGAGTCTGGGGAGGCCTGAAGAGGCTGGCGGACCCTGGAGAGTCTGGGGAGGCCTGAAGAGGCCTGGGGGACCCTGGAGAGTCTGGGGAGGCCTGAAGAGGCCTGGGGGACCCTGGAGAGTCTGGGGAGGCCTGAAGAGGCTGGGGGACCCTGGAGAGTCTGGGGAGGCTGAAGAGGCCTGGGGGACCCTGGAGAGTCTGGGGAGGCCTGAAGAGGCCTGGGGGACTCCGGAGAGGTCTGGGTGAAGGCCTGAAGAGCCTGGGGGACCCTGGAGAGTCTGGGGTAGGCCTGAAGAGGCCTGGGGGACCCCGGAGAGTCTGGGGAGGCTGAAGAGGCTGGGGGACCCTGGAGAGTCTGGGGAGGCCTGAAGAGGCCTGGGGGACCCCGGAGAGTCTGGGGAGGGCCTGAAGAGGCTGGGGGACCCTGGAGAGTCTGGGGAGGCTGAAGAGGCCTGGGGGACCCTGGAGAGTCTGGGGAGGCCTGAAGAGGCCTGGCGGACCCTGGAGAGTCTGGGGAGGCCTGAAGAGGCCTGGGGGACCCTGGAGAGTCTGGGGAGGCCTGAAGAGGCCTGGGGGACCCTGGAGAGTCTGGGGAGGCCTGAAGAGGCCTGGGGGACTCCGGAGAGTCTGGGAAGGCCTGAAGAGGCCTGGGGGACCCTGGAGAGTCTGGTGAGGCCTGAAGAGGCCTGGGGGACTCTGGAGAGTCTGGGAAGGCCTGAAAAGGCCTGGGGGGGTCCCCTGGAGAGTCTGGAAAGGCCTGAAGAGGCCTGGGGGACCCTGGAGAGTCTGGGGAGGCCTGAAGAGGCCTGAGGGGGTCCCCTGGAGAGTCTGGGAAGGCCTGAAGAGGCCTGGGGGACCCTGGAGAGTCTGGGGAGGCTTGAAGAGGCCTGGGGGACACTGGAGAGTCTGGGAAGTCCTGAAGAGGCCTGGGGAACCCTGGAGAGTCTGGGGAGGCCTGAAGAGGCCTGGGGGACCCTGGAGAGTCTGGGAAGGCCTGAAGAGGCCTGGGGGACCCTGGAGAGTCTGGGAAGTCCTGAAGAGGCCTGGGGGGGGGGCTGGAGAGTCTCTTGAGGCCTAAAGAGGCCTGGGGGACCCTGAAGAGTCTGGGGAGGCCTGAAGAGGCCTGGGGGGCCCTTGAGAGTTTGGGAAGGCCTGAAGAGGCCTGGGGGACCCTGGAGAGTCTGGGAAGGCCTGAAGAGGCTTGGGGGGCCGTGAAGACTCTGGGAAGGCCTGAAGAGGCCTGGGGGACCCTGGAGAGTCTGGGAAGGCCTGAAGAGGTCTGGGGGGGGCTGGAGAGTCTCTTGAGGCCTAAAGAGGCCTGGGGGACCCTGAAGAGTCTGGGGAGGCCTGAAGAGGCCTGGGGGCCCTTGAGAGTCTGGGAAGGCCTGAAGAGGCCTGGGGGACCCTGGAGAGTCTGGGAAGGCCTGAAGAGGCTTGGGGGGCCGTGGAGAGTCTGGGAAGGCCTGAAGAGGCCTGGGGGACCCTGGAAAGTCTGAGAAGGCCTGAAGAGGCCTGGGGGACCCTGGAGAGTCTGGGAAGGCCTGAAGAGGCCTGGGGGACCCTGGAGAGTCTGGGGAGGCCTGGGGGACCCTGGAGAGTCTGGGGAGGCCTGAAGAGGCCTGGGGGACCCTGGAGAGTCTGGGAAGGCCTGAAGAGGCCTGGGGGACCCTGGAGAGTCTGGGAAGGCCTGAAGAGGCTTGGGGGGCCGTGGAGAGTCTGGGAAGGCCTGAAGAGGCCTGGGGGACCCTGGAGAGTCTGAGAAGGCCTGAAGAGGCCTGGGGGACCCTGGAGAGTCTACGAAGGCCTGAAGAGGCCTGGGGGACCCTGGAGAGTCTGGGGAGGCCTGGGGGACCCTGGAGAGTCTGGGGAGGCCTGAAGAGGCCTGGGGGGGACCCTGGAGAGTCTGGGAAGGCCTGAAGAGGCCTGGGGGACCCTGGAGAGTCTGGGGAGGCCTGAAGAGGCCTGGGGGACCCTGGAGAGTCTGGGAAGGCCTGAAGAGGCCTGGGGGACCCTGGAGAGTCTGGGAAAGGCCTGAAGAGGCCTGGGGGACCTGGAGAGTTCTGGGGAGGCCTGAGAGGCCTGGGGGACCTGGAGAGTCTGGGGAGGCCTGAAGAGGCCTGGGGGACCCTGGAGAGGTCTGGGGAGGCTGAAGAGGCCTGGGGGACCCTGGAGAGTCTGGGGAGGCCTGAAGAGGCCTGGGGGACCCTGGAGAGTCTGGGGAGGCCTGAAGAGGCCTGGGGGACCCTGGAGAGTCTGGGGAGGCCTGAAGAGGCCTGGGGGACCCTGGAGAGTCTGGGAAGGCCTGAAGAGGCTTGGGGGGCCGTGGAGAGTCTGGGAAGGCCTGAAGAGGCCTGGGGGACCCTGGAGAGTCTGAGAAGGCCTGAAGAGGCCTGGGGGACCCTGGAGAGTCTGGGAAGGCCTGAAGAGGCCTGGGGGACCCTGGAGAGTCTGGGGAGGCCTGGGGGACCCTGGAGAGTCTGGGGAGGCCTGAAGAGGCCTGGGGGACCCTGGAGAGTCTGGGAAGGCCTGAAGAGGCCTGAGGGACCCTGGAGAGTCTGGCGAGGCCTGGGGGACCCTGGAGAGTCTGGGGAGGCCTGAAGAGGCCTGGGGGACCCTGGAGAGTCTGGGGAGGCCTGAAGAGGCCTGGGGGACCTGGAGAGTCTGGGGAGGCTGAAGAGGCCTGGGGGACCCTGGAGAGTCTGGGGAGGCCTGAAGAGGCCTGGGGGACCCTGGAGAGTCTGGGGAGGCCTGAGAGGCCTGGGGGACCCTGGAGAGTCTGGGGGAGGCCTGAAGAGGCCTGGGGGACCCTGGAGAGTCTGGGGGGGCCTGAAGAGGCCTGGGGGACCCTGGAGAGTCTGGGGAGGCCTGAAGAGGCCTGGGGGACCCTGGAGAGTCTGGGGAGGCCTGAAGAGGCCTGGGGGACCCTGGAGAGTCTGGGGAGGCCTGAAGAGGCCTGGGGGACCCTGGAGAGTTAGGGAAAGGCCTGAAGGGCTTGGGGGGCCGTGGAGAGTCTGGGAAGGCCTGAAGAGGCCTGGGGGACCCTGGAGAGTCTGAGAAGGCCTGAAGAGGCCTGGGGGACCCTGGAGAGTCTGGGAAGGCCTGAAGAGGCCTGGTGGACCCTGGAGAGTCTGGGGAGGCCTGAAGAGGCCTGGGGGACCCTGGAGAGTCTGGGAAGGCCTGAAGAGGCTTGGGGGGCCGTGGAGAGTCTGGGAAGGCCTGAAGAGGCCTGGGGGACCCTGGAGAGTCTGAGAAGGCCTGAAGAGGCCTGGGGGACCCTGGAGAGTCTGGGAAGGCCTGAAGAGGCCTGGTGGACCCTGGAGAGTCTGGGGAGGCCTGGGGGACCCTGGAGAGTCTGGGGAGGCCTGAAGAGGCCTGGGGGACCCTGGAGAGTCTGGGAAGGCCTGAAGAGGCCTGGGGGACCCTGGAGAGTCTGGGGAGGCCTGGGGGACGCTGGAGAGTCTGGTGAGGCCTGAAGAGGCCTGGGGGACCCTGGAGAGTCTGGGGAGGCCTGAAGAGGCCTGGGGGACCCTGGAGAGTCTGGGGAGGCCTGAAGAGGCCTGGGGTGGGTCTGGAGATGTGAGTAATATACAGATAAAATGTTATATTATTGCCAGCAGTCTGCATTGTTTATTCTATTTTGAAATTGTTATTTCTTGAATTTAGTGTGAAATTGGCCAAATTACTAATTTCTGGTCACTTTATTGGGTAATTGAAATAGGTAAATGGGCAGTTTCTTATTCTTAAATAATAGAATAAAAGGAGTACTAGTGAAATAGCTAAGAGTTTGGGTGACTGCAACAATGGAATTGACCAAAAACAGGCCTCAAAGTGGATGAAATCACCAATGCATAAATATGGTCCAGACTGCTAACTTTGCATCAGCATAATTCCTTCAGTTTTCCACCAAATTTTGTACTTTGTGGTTACCTTCGGAAAGATTCTTTATCATTTCACAAGATAAAATAATTTTTATCATTTAAATTCTTTGACCCAGAGAACAAGTTTGAGATCGGGGGTTGCCACCCTGAAAGAGGTAAAGCTTTCAGTATAACAGACCTGGATTTAATGGAGCATAATTTAACATAGTAGTAATAGTAGCGGTGTTAGTAGTAGTAGTACTTACATCAATATGACTGCCCTGGATTTAATGGAGCATAATTTAACATAGTAGTAATAGTAGCGGTACTAGTAGTAGTAGTACTTACATCAATATGACTGCCCTGGATTTAATGGAGCATAATTTAACATAGTAGTAATAGTAGCAGTGCTAGTAGTAGTAGTACTTACATCAATATGACTGGAGGAGATGATAAACTTCTTGATAGGGTCCCTGGGTAAGGTATCAGTGAGGGAGCCAGAGGGCCAGACACGGTGCGTTGTCATGTGTTTTTTGACGTTACTCTTCTGTGTGAAAGCTCTGCCACACACTATACACTGGAAGGGCTTCTCTCCAGTGTGAGAACGGATGTGCTGCTGCAGGTCGAAGTTCTTGCTGAACTCCTTCCCACAGAATGGACACTTGTGCTTAGCCTGTGGAGGTAAAGACAGTTGTTGTTTACAAGTAGTTCACCTGGAAAGTGAACACGGCAACTTGACTGTACCCTGAACTACTGTGAAGGCTGGAACAACAATCTGCTACAAAGGAGCACCTGAGAGAGGAACCTTACGAGGTTCCTGTCTATTTTAGACCATTGTCAGGTGACAACTGAAGAGAAGAACTTATAGCCAAGATGACATTACTGTAGATGGCAGTGAGGATGTTACAGTACTGGAGGTGGGAAGTACAGTACCAGTACTCTGAAGGATGAGTGAGAATGTTACAGTACTGGAGGTGGGAAGTACAGTACCAGTACTCTGAAGGATGAGTGAGAATGTTACAGTACTGGAGGTGGGAAGTACAGTACCAGTACTCTGAAGGATGAGTGAGAATGTTACAGTACTGGAGGTGGGAAGTACAGTACCAGTACTCTGAAGGATGAGTGAGAATGTTACAGTACTGGAGGTGGGAAGTACAGTACCAGTACTCTGAAGGATGAGTGAGAATGTTACAGTACTGGAGGTGGGAAGTACAGTACCAGTACTCTGAAGGATGAGTGAGGATGTTACAGTACTGGAGGTGGTAAGTACAGTACCAGTACTCTGAAGGATGAGTGAGGATGTTACAGTACTGGAGGTGGTAAGTACAGTACCAGTACTCTGAAGGATGAGTGAGAATGTTACAGTACTGGAGGTGGGAAGTACAGTACCAGTACTCTGAAGGATGAGTGAGGATGTTACAGTACTGGAGGTGGTAAGTACAGTACCAGTACTCTGAAGGATGAGTGAGAATGTTACAGTACTGGAGGTGGGAAGTACAGTACCAGTACTCTGAAGGATGAGTGAGGATGTTACAGTACTGGAGGTGGGAAATACAGTACCAGTACTCTGAAGGATGAGTGAGGATGTTACAGTACTGGAGGTGGTAAGTACAGTACCAGTACTCTGAAGGATGAGTGAGAATGTTACAGTACTGGAGGTGGGAAGTACAGTACCAGTACTCTGAAGGATGAGTGAGGATGTTACAGTACTGGAGGTGGGAAGTACAGTACCAGTACTCTGAAGGATGAGTGAGGATGTTACAGTACTGGAGGTGGGAAGTACAGTACCAGTACTCTGAAGGATGAGTGAGGATGTTACAGTACTGGAGGTGGGAAGTACAGTACCAGTACTCTGAAGGATGAGTGAGAATGTTACAGTACTGGAGGTAGGAAGTACAGTACCAGTACTCTGAAGGATGAGTGAGGATGTTACAGTACTGGAGGTGGGAAGTACAGTACCAGTACTCTGAAGGATGAGTGAGAATGTTACAGTACTGGAGGTGGTAAGTACAGTACCAGTACTCTGAAGGATGAGTGAGAATGTTACAGTACTGGAGGTGGGAAGTACAGTACCAGTACTCTGAAGGATGAGTGAGGATGTTACAGTACTGGAGGTGGTAAGTACAGTACCAGTACTCTGAAGGATGAGTGAGAATGTTACAGTACTGGAGGTGGTAAGTACAGTACCAGTACTCTGAAGGATGAGTGAGGATGTTACAGTACTGGAGGTGGTAAGTACAGTACCAGTACTCTGAAGGATGAGTGAGAATGTTACAGTACTGGAGGTGGTAAGTACAGTACCAGTACTCTGAAGGATGAGTGAGAATGTTACAGTACTGGAGGTGGTAAGTACAGTACCAGTACTCTGAAGGATGAGTGAGGATGTTACAGTGCTGGAGGTGGGAAGTACAGTACCAGTACTCTGAAGGATGAGTGAGGATGTTACAGTACTGGAGGTGGGAAGTACAGTACCAGTACTCTGAAGGATGAGTGAGGATGTTACAGTGCTGGAGGTGGGAAGTACAGTACCAGTACTCTGAAGGATGAGTGAGGATGTTACAGTACTGGAGGTGGGAAGTACAGTACCAGTACTCTGAAGGATGACTGAGGATGTTACAGTACTGGAGGTGGGAAGTACAGTACCAGTACTCTGAAGGATGAGTGAGAATGTTACAGTACTGGAGGTGGGAAGTACAGTACCAGTACTCTGAAGGATGAGTAAGGATGTTACAGTACTGGAGGTGGGAAGTACAGTACCAGTACTCTGAAGGATGACTGAGGATGTTACAGTACTGGAGGTGGGAAGTACAGTACCAGTACTCTGAAGGATGAGTGAGAATGTTACAGTACTGGAGGTGGGAAGTACAGTACCAGTACTCTGAAGGATGACTGAGGATGTTACAGTACTGGAGGTGGGAAGTACAGTACCAGTACTCTGAAGGATGAGTGAGAATGTTACAGTACTGGAGGTGGGAAGTACAGTACCAGTACTCTGAAGGATGAGTGAGAATGTTACAGTACTGGAGGTGGGAAGTACAGTACCAGTACACTGAAGGAAGGAAGACAGGCACTAACCTTCAACTTGACACCATCCTTACTGCTTGTAGTCTTGGCCATGCTGGCATGAAAGAACTCATGGTTGTAACAAGCCACATCTTCATCCTTCTCCACCAACTCTACCTGGCATGGCACTCCGCCTCCGCCACCGCCGCCTCCACCATCGCTGCCATCCATGGTGTCCACCTCCCCAACCATTGTCGTCAATGGCTGTGGTGACAAGCTAGTACCAACATCCTGTGGGAATCATCACATATCAGTATTCACCTATTTGTGGTTGCAGGGGTTGAGTTGCAGCTCCTAGAATTGCCACTTTGCTGGTGGATACTAGATCTGCTCTCTCCAGGGTCCAAGAGCTGTGTTGTAACTCTTCTTAAAGTTATATACGAGTCCTGCCTCTGTGTGTGTGTTTCTATACTATTATTATTATTTATTACTATTATTATTATTATTCTTACTGGAGTAAGACACTAGGTAAGAGGGTAGTTAAGTTAGGGTAGTTAGGTTCCATAAGAATGTAATTAGGAACTGCTGTAACTAGAACTGAAGAACATATGGAGAAAATTAGGTTGCATTCCCTGGACCCCCAAAATAAGCCCAGCCAAATATTTCTAGGTCTATAAATTGTAGTGATGGTAGTTAACTAACAAGGGTATCAGTGATGGTAGTTAACTAACAAGGGTATCAGTGATGGTAGTTAACTAACAAGGGTATCAGTGATGGTAGTTAACTAACCAGGGTAGCAGTGATGGTAGCTAACCAACCAGGGTAGCAGTGATGATAGCTAACTAACCAGAGTAGCAGTGATGGTAGTGTTGGTAGTTAGCAGCGGTGAGACAGCGCAGGACAGTGCATCGTTACTACTGGACACTGGCAGGAAGTTGGTAGTTTGTAGTCCTCCTGGTAGTGGCAGTACCTGAGCAACAACAACAACAACATTACTACCTATCTTGCCTTGGCACTGTCTTAAAAAAACCTCACAGAATGTGTGCATTGTGTGTGCTGTGTGTGTGTGCACATGTGTGTGTGTGTGTACTCACCTATTTGTACTCACCTATTTGTGGTTGCAGGGGTCGAGTCATAGCTCCTGGCCCTGCCTCTTCACTGATTGCTACTAGGTCCTCTCTCTCCCTGCTCCATGAGCTTTATCATACCTCGCCTTAAAACTATGTATGGTTCCCGCCTCCACTACTTCACTTTCTAGGCTATTCCACGGCTTGACTACTCTATGACTGAAAAAATACTTCCTAACATCCCTTTGATTCATCTGAGTCTTCAACTTCCAATTGTGACCTCTTGTGTCTGTGTCCCATCTCTGGAACATCCCGTCTTTGTCCACCTCGTCTATTCCGCGCAGTATTTTATATGTCGTTATCATGTCTCCCCTGACCCTCCTGACCTCCAGTGTCGTCAGGCCGATTTCCCTCAACCTTTCTTCGTAGGACAATCCCCGTAGCTCTGGGACTAGTTTTGTTGCAAACCTTTGCACTTTCTCTAATTTCTTGACGTGCTTGACTAGGTGTGGATTCCAAACTGGTGCTGCATACTCCAGTATGGGCCTGACGTAAATGGTATACAGAGTCTTGAACGACTCCTTACTGAGGTATCAGAACGCTATCCATAGGTTTGCCAGGCGCCCGTATGCTGCAGCAGTTATCTGTTTAATGTGTGCTTCTGGCAATGTACTCAGTATTATTCTATAGGTATAATATATTATAGGTCTTTCTCCTCGAGTGAGGTTTGCAGCCTTTGGCCTCCTAGCCTATACTCTGTCTGCGGTCTTCTTTGCCCTCCCCCGATCTTCATGACTTTGCATTTGGCAGGGTTAAATTCTAGGAGCCAGTTTCTGGACCACACATCCAGCCTGTCGTGGTCTCTTTGTAGACCTGTCTGGTCCGCATCTGATTTAATTCTCCTCATTAACTTCACGTCATCTGCAAACAGAGACACTTCTGAGTCTATCCCTTCTGTCATGTTGTTCGCATATACCAAGAATAGCACTGGTCCCAGGACTGACCCCTGTGGGACCCCGCTCGTCACTGGCGCCCACTGTGATACCTCATCACGGACCATGACTCGCTGTTGCCTCCCTGTTAGGTATTCTCTGATCCACTGCAGTGCCCTTCTTGTTATACGTGCCTGTTCCTCTAGCTTCTGTACTAATCTCTTGTGAGGAACTGTGTCGAAGGCCTTCTTGCAGTTCAAGAAAATGCAATCAACCCATCCCTCCCTCTCATTTCTTACTTCAGTTACCTTGTCATAAAACTCTAGTAGGTTTGTGACACAGGATTTGCCTTCCATGAATCCGTTTATAATCTTGTTCCGCTCCAGGTGCTCCATCACTCTCCTCCTGATAATCTTTTCCAAAACTTTGCATACTATACACGTCAGTGACACTGGTCTATAATTTAGTGCTTCATTTCTGTCTCCCTTCTTAAAGATGAGGAATACATTTGCCTTCTTCCATACTTCAGGTAGTTGCACAGTTTCAAGGGAAGTGTTGAAGATTTTGGTTAGTGGCACACACAGTGTCTCTGCTCCCTCTCTAAGGACTCATGGAGAGATGTTGTCCGGTCCCACCGCCTTTGAGGTATCAAGGTCACTTAGGAGCTTCTCCACCTCCTCCTCAGTTGTGCGTAATTCATTCAACACTTGTTGGTATATCCCTTGTTGTTGTACCCCACTGTTTTGTCTTCCCATTGTCCCTTCAGCCTCCACTGTAAATACTTCCTGAAATCTCATGTTGAGCTCCTCACATACCTCCTGGTCGTTTCTTGTGAGCTCCCCACCTTCCTTCCTCAGCCTGATTACCTGGTCCTTGACTGTTGTCTTCCTCCTGATGTGGCTGTAGAGTAGTTTCGGATCAGACTTGACTTTCGATGCTATGTCATTTTCATACTGCTGCTGTGCCTCCCTCCTTATCTGTGCGTACTCGTTTCTGGCCCTTCGACTAATCTCTTTATTCTCCTGAGTCCTTTGCCTTCTGTACTTTTTCCATTCTCTAGAGCACTTAGTTTTTGCCTCCCTACACCGTCGGGTAAACCAAGGGCTTGTTCTGTCCTTCCCATCATTTCTGTTACCCTTGGGAACAAACCTTTCCTCTGCCTCCTTGCATTTTGTTGTTACAAAGTCCATCATTTCGTTTACTGATTTTCCTACCAACTCCTGTTCCCACTGAACCTCCTCTGTGTGTGTGTGTGTGTGTGTGTGTGTGTGTGTGTGTGTGTGTGTGTGTGTGTGTGTGTGTGTACTCACCTAATTGTACTCACCTAATTGTGGTTGCAGGGGTCGAGACTCAGCTCCTGGCCCTGCCTCTTCACTGATCGCTACTGGATCCTTTCTCTCTCTGCTTCCTGAGCTTTGTCATACCTCTTCTTAAAACTATGTATGGTTCCTGCCTCCACTACTTCACTTGCTGGGCTATTCCACTTGCTGACAACTCTATGACTGAAGAAATACTTCCTAACGTCCCTGTGACTCGTCTGAGTCTTCAGCTTCCAGTTGTGACCCCTTGTCCCTGTGTCCCCTCTCTGGAACATCCTATCTCTGTCCACCTTGTCTATTCCCCGCAGTATCTTGTATGTCGTTATCATGTCTCCCCTGACCCTTCTGTCCTCCAGTGTGTGTGTGTGTGTGTGTATGTGTGTGTGTGTGTGTCTGTGTCTGTGTCTGTAGACCAGATGCTGAATCTTCCTTCCCTGATCAGACTATCAACACCCACAATGATAGTTCCCATTTAACACCAAAATAGAGCACTATCAACACAAGAACAGTAGATTGTAGAGCATAGTTACCTGGGTAGTTTCGATAGTAAATGGGAGTAGTTCGGCCTCGCTGACTATTATGTGCTGGTTGATGGTGGTAGGGGATGGTAGACTACCACTACTACCACCACTATTACCACTGCTGCCACCACTGCTGTTACCACTGCTGTACACTGTATCAGATACCTGGAAAATATTAGATAGTAGTAGTAGTCTCCATGGGGAAGTGGAACAAATTCTTATTCTATAAGCCATGCGTGTTTTAAGAGGGAACTAAAATGCCGGGAGCAAGGGGCTAGTAACTCCTTCTCCTGTATACATTACTAAAGTTAAAAAGAGAAACTTTTGTTTTTCTTTTTGGGCCACCCTGCCTGGGTGGGATACTGCCAGTTTGTTGAAAGTAGTAGCAGTGGCAGTAGTTGTACTAGTAGTAGTAGCAGTGGCAGTAGTTGTACTAGTAGTAGTAGCAGTGGTAGTAGTTGTACTAGTAGTAGCAGCAGTGGCAGTAGTTGTACTAGTAGTAGTAGCAGTGGCAGTAGTTGTACTAGTAGTAGTAGTAGTGGCAGTAGTTGTAGTAGTAGTAGTGGCAGTAGTTGTACAAGTAGTAGTAGTGGTAGTAGTTGTACTAGTAGTAGTAGCAGTGGCAGTAGTTGTACTAGTAGTAGTAGTAGTGGCAGTAGTTGTACTAGTAGTAGTGGCAGTAGTTGTACAAGTAGTAGTAGTAGTAGTAGTTGTACTAGTAGTAGTAGTAGTGGCAGTAGTTGTACTAGTAGTAGTAGTAGTGGCAGTAGTTGTACTAGTAGTAGTAGTAGTGGCAGTAGTTGTACTAGTAGTAGTAGTAGTGGCAGTAGTTGTACTAGTAGTAGTAGTGGTAGTAGTGGTAGTAGTAGTAGTAGTGGTAGTAGTTGTACTAGTAGCAGTAGTAGTGGTGGTAGTAGTTGTAGTAGTAGTGGCAGTAGTTGTACTAGTTGTAGTAGTAGTGGCAGTAGTTGTACTAGTTGTAGTGGCAGTAGTTGTACTACTAGTAGTAGTAGTGGTGGTAGTAGTTGTAGTAGTAGTAGTAGTGGTAGTAGTTGTACTAGTAGTAGTAGTAGTAGTAGTAGTGGTAGTAGTTGTACTAGTAGTAGTAGTAGTAGTAGTGGTGGTAGTTATACTAGTAGTAGTGGTAGTAGTTGTACTAGTAGTAGTGGTAGTAGTTGTACTAGTAGTAGTAGTAGTTGTAGTAGTTGTACTAGTAGTAGTGGTAGTAGTTGTACTAGTAGTAGTAGTAGTTGTACTAGTAGTAGTTATTTATTTTACAGTCAGTAGTAGTGGTAGTAGTTTACTAGTAGTAGTGGTAGTAGTTGTACTAGTAGTGGAGTTGGTAGTTAGTTTGTAGTAGTAGTGGTAGTAGTTGTACTAGTAGTAGTAGTAGTGGTGTATAGTAGTGTATATAGTAGTAGTGGTGTAGTAGTAGTAGTGGTAGTGTGTAGTAGTAGTGAGTGGTAGTAGTGTTAGTAGTGGTGAGTAGTTGTAAGTAGTAGTGTGGAGTAGTTCAGTAGTAGGTAGTAGTGTTAGGTAGTAGTAGTAGTGGTGGTGTATAAGTAGTGTAGTTAGTAGTAGTGGTAGTTGTAGTTAGTAGTGGTGGATAGTAGTGTGTAGTAGTATGTTATAGTAGTGGTGGTAGTTGTATAGTAGTGGTGGTAGTAGTAGTAGTAAGTGAGTGTGTTATAGTAGTAGTTAGTAGAGTAGGTGGTAGTATGTGTAGTAGGGTAGTATAGTAGTGTGGTAGTAGTGTAGTAGTGGTGGTATAGTAGTAGTGTGGTGGTAGTAGTAGTAGTTGGTGGTAGAGTAGTGGTGGTATAGTAGTAGTGTGATAGTAGTAGTAGTGGTAGGTAGTAGGTAGGTAGGTTAGTAGTAGTGGTGGTAGTATAGTAGTAGTGGTAGTAGTTTAGTAGGTGTAGTAGTGTGTGTAGTAGTAGTAGTGGTGGTAGTAGTGTGTAGTAGTCAGTAGTATAGGCGAGTAGAAGTACTAGTTGTCATGTGTTATAGCAAGTGGTATATGTACATGGTGTAGATAACCTTGTTAGTGTGTAGCACAGGTATTGTAATGGTCAGATAAGACGCTGTCATGTGTTAGCACAGGTATATGTACATGGTCAGATAACCTGTCATGGTGTTAGCAAGTATTGTACATGGTCAGATAACCTGTCATGTGTTTAGCAAGGTATTGTACTGGTCAGTATATACCTGTGTATGTGTTTAGCTAGGTATTGTACAGTGTCAGTTAACCTGTCATATGTGTTAGCATAGGGTATTGTAATGGGTCAGATAAGCCTGTGTTATGTGTTAGCAAGGTATGTGTACTGGGTCAGATAAGCTGTCATGTGTTAGCACAGGTATTGTACAGGGTCAGATAACCTGTCATGTGTTAGCACAGGTATTGTACAGGGTCAGATAACCTGTCATGTGTTAGCACAGGTATTGTACATGGTTCAGATAACCTGTCATGTGTTAGCACAGGTATTGTACATGGTCAGATAACCTGTCATGTGTTAGCACAGGTATTGTACATGGTCAGATAACCTGTCATGTGTTAGCACAGGTATTGTACATGGTCAGATAACCTGTCATGTGTTAGCACAGGTATTGTACATGGTCAGATAACCTGTCATGTGTTAGCACAGGTATTGTACATGGTCAGATAACCTGTCATGTGTTAGCACAGGTATTGTACAGGTCAGATAACCTGTCATGTGTTAGCACAGGTATTGTACATGGTCAGATAACCTGTCATGTGTTAGCACAGGTATTGTACAGGTCAGATAACCTGTCATGTGTTAGCACAGGTATTGTACATGGTCAGATAACCTGTCATGTGTTAGCACAGGTATTGTACATGGTCAGATAACCTGTCATGTGTTAGCACAGGTATTGTACATGGTCAGATAACCTGTCATGTGTTAGCACAGGTATTGTACATGCAGATAACTGTGTTCAGATAACATGTTCATGTGTTAGCACAGGTATTGTACATGGTCAGATAACCTGTCATGTGTTAGCACAGGTATTGTACATGGTCAGATAACCTGTCATGTGTTAGCACAGGTATTGTACATGGTCAGATAACCTGTCATGTGTTAGCACAGGTATTGTACATGGTCAGATAACCTGTCATGTGTTAGCACAGGTATTGTACATGGTCAGATAACCTGTCATGTGTTAGCACAGGTATTGTACATGGTCAGATAACCTGTCATGTGTTAGCACAGGTATTGTACATGGTCAGATAACCTGTCATGTGTTAGCACAGGTATTGTACATGGTCAGATAACCTGTCATGTGTTAGCACAGGTATTGTACATGGTCAGATAACCTGTCATGTGTTAGCACAGGTATTGTACATGGTCAGATAACCTGTCATGTGTTAGCACAGGTATTGTACATGGTCAGATAACCTGTCATGTGTTAGCACAGGTATTGTACATGGTCAGATAACCTGTCATGTATTAGCACAGGTATTGTACAGGGTCAGATAACCTGTCATGTGTTAGCACAGGTATTGTACATGGTGAGATAACCTGTCATGTGTTAGCACAGGTATTGTACATGGTGAGATAACCTGTCATGTGTTAGCACAGGTATTGTACAGGGTCAGATAACCTGTCATGTGTTAGCACAGGTATTGTACAGGGTCAGTTAACCTGTCATGTGTTAGCACAGGTATTGTACATGGTCAGATAGCCTGTCATGTGTTAGCACAGGTATTGTACATGGTCAGACAACCTGTCATGTATTAGCACAGGTATTGTACAGGGCCAGTTAATCTGTTATGTGTTAGTACAGGTATTTTTGGTGTCTTAGGAATGGAACCCTTTTTTTCCCCTAAGGTCTTCACTTTATGTAACACTGAGTCTTCAGGAACATAACTTAAGGTGACCTCAAGTGACTTAAGTTGACAAAGTGACTTAAGGTTACTTAATGTGACTTTAAAGTGATGCTTAACTTGCCTGTGCTTGTTGTGGCTGGACCTGAACATGAATCTGACTGGCTAGGGATGCCCTTTCACCCTGGTAGCTGCCCTTGTCAGCCGCTGGCACAGGCTGCCCTCCCCCCACAGCCTGCAGCACCTGTAGGCCTCCGTGTAGGCCTCCCATCTTACCTGAAACACAAAATTACTGGCCATTTAGAGATCACAGAGCAGAATATAATATATAATATAATACTGGAGACAAGTTGAAAATATCCTAAAGTTTGGTCTATCGTACAGCTGGACCAGATAATTGCATGACAATGCATGTTGGTACTCTGCGGTTTTGGTTATCTGCAGTTCTGGTTATCTGCAGTTTTGGTTATCCATGGTTTTGGTTATCCAGGTTATGGTTATCCACAGTGTTGGTTATCCACAGTTTTGGTTATCCGCAGTTTTGGTTATCTGCAGTTTTGGTTATCCGCAGCTTTAGTTATCCATGGTTTTGGTTACCCACAGTTTTGGTTATCCACAGTTTTGTGTACGAATGGTATATAATACCGACAAGATGAGAGTAAGACACATGTGCAACATCTGGGTATCTTTATTGTAGACGTTTCGCCATCCAGTGGCTTTATCAATACAAATTCCAGGACATAACTTGAAGACAGTAGAACTATGTACAGAAGATGAGGTAATCAGTCCCTCAACCTAGGAGTAGGTGCGAACAGCACCATAGTCGTGGAGATTCTGAAGCAGATGAAAGAATCCTGGCGCTTATATAGTAACGTCAGGTGAATTTGCCCTCGTCTGCTTCACCTGACGTTACTATATAAGCGCCAGGATTCTTTCTTCTGCTTCAGAATCTCCACGACTATGGTGCTGTTCGCACCTACTCCTAGGTTGAGGGACTGATTACCTCATCTTCTGTACATAGTTCTACTGTCTTCAAGTTATGTCCTGGAATTTGTATTGATAAAGCCACTGGATGGCGAAACGTCTACAATAAAGATACCCAGATGTTGCACATGTGTCTTACTCTTATCCACAGTTTTGTTTACCCACAGTTTTGGTTATCCACAGTTTTGGTTACCCACAGTTTCTAGCAACCATGATAGCTCTTGGAAGGTATCACCCAGGGATACCAGGGGAACTACTGTAGTATTATTATCATTACAGCCTCTCCTCACTTATCGATGTACTCATTTCAACGACTCAGACTTACGATGGACTCTCTGACCAGTATGGATACCTAAATAATACATGTAATGTATATTAGAGCCAATTTCCTCTATTCTGTTTATTACAATATACAGTACACTACTGTATAAATATTTAAAAGTACAAAAGACCATTATTTAACATGGGTTAATTCGGCACATTTTGGTTATAGCACTATTGAACAATTGCGGCACAATTTTATATAACACTTTGTAAAATTAACCTAACACGGTTCAGTTCGTGGGAGGGGAAGAAATTTGGAGCATCACCTGCGGGATACTTCTGGCTGTGGGTTAGACCACTGAGTCAACGGGGGAGACCTACTGCCATCCCCCACAACCTTCCCCCTCCCCCACCACCCTTATCCCAGTCTTTGGTTCATATGCATATAGAACCATCCTCTGCTAGGAGCTAGTTATGTTTATTTTTGTTTGTGGATCGAGTTTAGATCTTTTAATTGCCATATCTTCAATCTGCCAAGCAATCATGGCACCCAGTAGGCATACAAGTGTTGCTGAAAGTGGTAAGAAAAGGTTGAAGTGTTTAAGTCTAGGAGTTACAAAGAAAATTGAGATATTAGACAAGCTTAAGAGTAGCTCACGTGTGGTGGATATAGTGAGGGTCTGTGGCCTTAATGAAGTGCCAATTCGTACAATTACAAAGAACAAGGTGAATATACGAGCTTGTGTAATGAATAACCCAAGATGTCATCTCATGAAAAGAATGACACGTAGATCACAACAAGTAAATAAAACAGAAAACTTGTTGCCTGAGTGGATTGAACAAAAGACAAAGAAAGGTGCACCACTTAATTTCATCTTAATTAGGGAAAAGACCTTACAGTTGTTTACAGCAGTGTGTGATAAGGAAGGCCTGAAAAAGTGTGTATGTTTAGCACAGGCTGCTTCCACGACTTTAAGTTGCATAATAAGTTACATAATATTGAGATTTCTGGTGAAAGTGCTTCAGCTGATCATAGAGCAAGTAATTTCCCTGCTGAATTGCAGGAAATTATTTCTGAGGGTGGCTATGAGCCACATCAAGTGTTTAATGCTGATGAGACAAGTGTTTTTTTGGAAGAAAATGCCAACAAGAACTTATATCAGTCAGCAAGAGAACAGTGCACTGGGCTTCAAGACAGCAAAGGACTGCTTCACCTTGCTTCTTTGCAGTATTGCATCAGGTGATTTCAAGTGTAAGCCCATGGTTATTTACCGCCCTAAGAATCCTCGTGCTTTGAAAGGTGTAGATAAAAACACCTTACCAGTAATTTGGAGGTCAAACCAGTCAGCATGGAAGACAGAGGAAATATTTATTGACTGGTTTAACCCTTAAACTGTCCAAACGTAGATCTACGTTCACTTGCATAGCACTCCGAATGTAGATCCACATTATTTTTTACATTCTTTCTTAAGGAGAAAACCAAGGTCGGAGCGCTACATGTGCAAACGTAGATCTACGTTTGGACAGTTTAAGTATCACTTTATTCCTGAAGTCAAGTTTTACCTGCACATCAAGAACCTTACATTCAAGGCTCTCTTCATTCTTGATAATTCCCGTACTCATCCACAAGCTTGGCTGGATGTGACCCCACATGTAAATGTTGTATTTTTACCTCCAAATACAACATCTGTAATACAACCACAGGATCGGGGAGTTATTAAGTCATTCAAGTGTAACTACACAAAAAAGTTATGAAAAAACTTGTTGCATCAATGGACTCTGACTCCAACCTGGCAGCACCAAGCTTCTGGAATAAACTTAACATTGCAGATGCTGTCAGCTATGCTAGAAGTGCATGGAATGAAGTGCCCCAATAAACATTAAATGCAGGCTGGGGAAAGTTATGGCCTTCTGTAGTTAATTCTTTCACTGGTTTTCCCTTGCTTGAGTCAGGTTCAGGAAATTGTTCAGCTGGCAAGGAGATTACCAGGTGATGGTTTTGAAGATATGAATGAAGATGTGAACGAGTTCTTAGAAGATGATGATGATGAAGACAGGAGTCCAGAGGAAATGTTGGCAGAGCTCGATGCACAGATACAAGGGAGGGACATAACAGAAGAAGATGAAGAAGAACTTAAATAAAAACATTTAACAGTGCAGCAGTTACGTGAGCAGTTCCATATTATTGGTAAAGTTGCGGATTTTTTCACTGAAGAGGACCCTGACAAATCTAGAAGTAGTGCTTTAGAATGGGGTCTAGACCAGCTGATGATGCCTTACCGTCAGTTGTATAATGTACTGCAGGGTAAAAGAGCCTAGAGATCCATTACAGAATTTATGCACACTCCAATACAACCATTGACTTTCATACCAGAACCTCTACCATCCACTTCTGCCGACAACCAACAACCATCTACCTCAGCCCAGTAGGGCCACACCGTCTGTATACACTCTCTCCACAATCATCCACACACACCATTACCCACAATTTAAGGTAAGAAATACTATTATTTCTATTGCATTTGTAGTCTTAAGCAGTAATATATCATGACAATGAACTACAATTACATATTCACTTTTATTTTTGTAAGATCTGTTGGTCTAAAAAAAATGTTGTTTGGTTTTTTGGGGGCTCCCAGGAACGTAACCCTATTTTTCCCACAAGTTCTTCAGTTTATCTAACACGGTTTTACCTAACATGGCATTTTCAGGAATGTAAATACCATGTTAAATAATGGTCTACTGTATACCAGAGATGTCATAAATGGTGCAAAGGTGACATTAAAACAATATCAAAGATGGTTGACACAAACCCACTACCATTATAGTGTGCTCCTCACTTAGTGACGAATTCGTTAACTGACATGGTCTCAGGAAAAGAACTCCGTTGTTAAGTGAGGAGAGGCTGTATTATTACAACGAGAGCATGGTTGTTCTGACCTGAACAATGGTTACGTTTGTGCGTCACAAAGTGTTCCAGGGATGAAAACTGTTTCTTGCATCGTCCACACTGGAAGACGTCCTCGTCGTCCTCGTCCTCGTCCACCACGCCCTCCAGAGACACTTCCTCTCCTGCCAATGAAGAGCCAGGTTAGAAAGTACATGCACTTCCTTGGCACTGTCCTGAACAAGAAAATAAAAACTGTAAGCACAGTCAGGCTAGTAAGTCGTTTCTTATCACTGTCCTAACAACAACTACTGTCATTACAGCCAGGCTAAAGAGTAGTTCCTTGTCACTGTCCTGAACAACAACTACTGTCAACACACTCAGGCTAGACAGTAGTTCCTTATCACTGTCCTGAACAACAACTACTGTCAACACAGTGAGGCTAGACAGTAGTTCTACATCACTGTCCTGAACAACAACTACTGTCAACACAGTCAGGCTAGACAGTAGTTCTACATCACTGTCCTGAACAAGAACTACTGTCAACACAGTCAGGCTAGACAGTAGTTCTACATCACTGTCCTGAACAACAACTACTGTCAACACAGTCAGGCTAGACAGTAGTTCTACATCACTGTCCTGAACAAGAACTACTGTCAACACAGTCAGGCTAGACAGTAGTTCCTTATCACTGTCCTGAACAAAAACTACTGTCAACACAGTCAGGCTAGACAGTAGTTCCTTATCACTGTCCTGAACAAAAACTACTGTCAACACAGTCAGGCTAGACAGTAGTTCTACATCACTGTCCTAACAACAACTACTGTCAACACAGTCAGGCTAGACAGTAGTTCTACATCACTGTCCTGAACAACAAAGACATAACCAGCATATAAATGACAAAAACATCTAACGAACTTAATGTAGCATTTGCGATGGTGGCGGCAGCAGTGGCTGTGTCACAGGTGGCGGCGGCTGTGCCACCCTGGATCAACTCCGGCGCATCCAGCAACTGCTGCACCGTAAGTCCCGCTGGTCCTTCCAGCGTTACCCCTGCAAGACAGCGGAAAGTGAACCATTAGGATCGTAGGATCAGGGTTAGGGTTAGAGTGCAATGGACAAGTGTAGTAGTACCAGCAGCAACACACACAGCAAGAGGCATTCATGAGTTTCCCCAGCACTCGGGCTTAATGCCAAAAGCTGGGGTGTGGCTCCAAAAGGATCCTGTAGTGCTTGCTGCCTTTGCACCTCTTAACATCGTCTGCTGCTATGTAGCTGCCACACCCTTTGAGCCCAGTGTGGGTGGGGTTTGTGGCAGCCCAAGGTGCCTAGATTCTTCCTCTGAGCCCCATGGGGGTGGGGAATGGGGCTAGGCCTGAGGACAACTGGTCCCAAAAGACGAGGAGGTACTTGTACCTCCTACCATGGCAGACATTGGTCTGAGACATTCCCAAGATAGGGAGCCAAGGCCGGGCCACCTCTTGGAAAATGCCCGGGCCAGGTGATTATACCAGCGAATCTACAAAAAAGAAGGGTTAGGGTTAAAGAATTAGGATTGTCTGATTCACACAGAAGACTAAACCTGTATGGGAGTTGTCCGGAGGGGGGGGGGGCTGTGACACCGCAGGACGCATTCTGTACTGGTTCTGGACTGTTGTGATGTCTGGTGCTATTCTGTTGAACACTTGTTATACATGAACACTTGTTGTATATGAACACCTGTTACACATGAACATCTGTTATATATGAACACCTGTTATACATGAACACCTGTTATACATGAACATGTTATATATGAACACCTGTCACACATGGTGAACACCTGTCATACATGGTGAACTTCTGTCATACATGACAAACACCTGTCATACAGTGAACACTTGTCATACATGGTGAACACCTGTCATACAGTGAACACCTGTCATTCATACATGGTGAACAGCTGTCATACATGGTGAACACCTGTCAAATAGGAACACATGTCATACATGAACACAGCCATACACTGAACTGTCAAACAATGAACATTTGTCAAAAATAATGAACACCTGTCAAACACTGAACACCTGTCAAACATAATGAACACCTATTAAACAAACACCTGTCAAAAATGACATTATTCCTTTTAAGTGTTTTTACACCTTTTGACACCTGTCAAGTGTGTATAATACACCTGTCAAGAATATTAATACCCCTGTCAAGTGTGTATAATACACCTGTCAAGTATATTAATACACCTGTCAAGTGTGTATAATACACCTGTCAAGTATATTAATACACCTGTCAAGTGTGTATAATACACCTGTCAATTGTGTATAATACACCTGTCAAGTATATTAATACACCTGTCAAGTGTGTAAAATACACCTGTCAAGTATATTAATACACCTATAAAGTGTGTATATAATACACCTGTCAAGTGTGTATAATACACCTGTCAAGTGTGTATAATACACCTGTCAAGTATATTAATACACCTGTCAAGTGTATAATACACCTGTCAAGTATATTAATACACTTGTCAAGTGTGTGTAATACACCTGTCATGTGTGTATAATACAACTGTCAAGTGTTTAATACACCTGTCAAGTGTGTGTAATACAGCTGTCATGAGTGTATAATACACCTGTCAAGTGTGTATAATACACCTGTCAAGTATATTAATACACCTGTCAAGTGTGTATAATACACCTGTAAAGTGTGTATAATACACCTGTCAAGTATATTAATACACCTGTCAAGCGTGTATAATACACCTGTCATGTGTGTATAATACAACTGTCAAGTGTGTATAATACAACTGTCAAGTGTGTATAATACACCTGTCATGTGTGTATAATACGCCTGTCAAGTGTGTATAATACACCTGTCAAGTATGTATAATACACCTGTGTTGTGTGTAATACACCTGTCAAGTATATTAATACACCTGTCAAGTGTGTATAATACACCTGTCAAGTATAATACACCTGTCAAGTGTGTATAATACACCTGTCAAGTATATTAATACACCTGTCAAGTGTATAATACACCTGTCAAGTATATTAATACATCTGTCAAGTGTGTATAATACACCTGTCAAGTGTGTATAATACACCTGTCAAGTGTGTATAATACACCTGTCAAGTGTATAATACACCTGTCAAGTGTGTATAATACACCTGTCAATTGTGTATAATACACCTGTCAAGTGTGTATAATACACCTGTCAAGTGTGTATAATACACCTGTCAAGTGTGTATAATACACCTGTCAAGTGTGTATAATACACCTGTCAATTGTGTATAATACACCTGTCAAGTGTGTATAATACACCTGTCAAGTGTGTATAATACACCTGTCAAGTGTGTATAATACACCTGTCAATTGTGTATAATACACCTGTCAAGTGTGTATAATACACCTGTCAAGTGTGTATAATACACCTGTCAAGTGTGTATAATACACCTGTCAAGTGTGTATAATACACCTGTCAAGTGTGTATAATACACCTGTCAAGTGCTTATGATCAGTTTTAATACGTCAGGTATTTTATACACCTGTCAAGCAAGACACCTGTCAATTATGACACCTGTTAAACGCGGGTGCTGGGAGTGCTAAACACTCATGGTCGTCTCAGAGGATAGCTCCAGCTCCTGGGATCAAGAGCTCCTTGGCATATTTGACAGAATTGACAGGCAACAAGTGAACATCTACACTGTTGCCACATCACAAGCTTCAATACTCTTTATTTCTAAAAATAACCATTACTTTTTTCTAAATCAAATTTTGAAATTTAGTTTTTAATATAGAATAGATAGACGTGGATAGGTCGATAGACAGAGGCGGTCAGATGGCGGATAGATGGATGGATAGATAGTGGGTAAAACTGGCAACGTCGCACCAGTGGTCATTACGAGGCGAATTACGTTATTTAAGGGGAAGCACTAGACCCTCAGGGGTCCTAGGGCCCCTATGGGGGTTAAGGGGATAGGCAGGGTTGATCAGGGGCCCCAGGTGAGCTCCAGCTCCCGGGATCAAGAGCCCAGGAGGTGAAATAAGGCTGAGAAAGGGGGAGGTGGTGGCTTTTCCCCTGACTGGTTAACCCCCTTAAAAAAAACCCTGAAATAAGAGCCAGGGGAACACCCCTTAGAATCAGGGGATGGCTTAGCTGACAGTCGTAGCCGCCTAGCCCCTAGCAAACAAGCCACCTAGCCATAAATAAAGCCACATAAGTAACTATCCTCTTTGGCTTCCTAAACCACTTACGACCCACACAAAGAAGCCAGCTTTTTCAAGCTTTATTTCTCAGCTCTGAAGCTTTATTTCCCAGCTGGAGCTCAGCTGGAGCACCCGCCAGGCTGGCTGATTCACCCGGGGAGGAAGAAAGCTTGAGGGAAAGCTTATTAAGCTGGAAAATACCTGAGAGAGCTTCGAAGATAGACTGAGACATAATGGCGGCGATTGTTTACATGTGACGTCATCGATTTCACTCTCACTTATTTCTTTATTTTCTCAATAATTACGCTCTTGTAGCCATGTTTCTCACTTTTAATTATTATTTTAGATTTATTCCAACTCTTCAGAAGTCATAATTACCATTAATATAATCTATAATTTATATTAACCACATCTTTATCTCGAGGTTTGATGACGTCATAGATAAGGGGCGGAGCTAAGTAGTGACGTCATCAATCTCTCACTTATTTCTCTCATTTTCTTAATAATTACGGTCTTATAACCGTATTTCTCACTCTCAAATATTGTTTTTTATTTATTCCTACTAGCTAGATGCTATAATTCACATTAATATGGTCTGTAACTCATATTAACAACAACTATGATTATAGGATTGATGACGTCATAGATAGGAATGGGTACTAAGTAGTGACGTCATCAATAACATTCATTTATTTCTCTCATTTCCTCAATAATTACGGCATTATAGTCATGTTTCTCACTTTCAGTTATTATTTTAAATTTATTCGGACTTATTAAAAGTTATAATTAACATCAATAATAGCCAGTAAATTATATTAACTACGTCAATAAATAGAGGATTGATGACGTCATGGGTCCTACCCACCGTTTCTCTCATTTCTCACTAATTATCTCCCTCACAGAGTTGTTTCCCACTCGTAAATATTGTTTTAATTCTATTTCCACTCACTAGGAGCTATAATTGATAATACACTGGTATAATTTACATTAATGGTATAATTTATAGTAACGCCGCCTGGAGGGTTGATGACGTCATCGAGGCGGAGCTAAGTAGTGACGTCATCAATCATACTCTTCCTTATTTCTCACATCTCTTGCTAATTACGTCCTTAAGGGCAATGTTTCTCGCTTCTGATTACCATTTTAGACGTATTTCGACTCATTAAAAACTATAATTCATTCTACTAAAGGCCTATAATTTATATTAACGTCATTTGTACGACTGATGATGTCATAGGGGTGGAGCTAATTAGTGACGTCATGGATTCAGGGTGGAGCTTAGATGTGACATCATGGATTCAGGGTGGAGCTTAAGTGTGACGTCATGGATTCAGGGTGGAGCTTAAGTGTGACGTCATGGATTCAGGGCGGAGCTTAGGTGTGACGTCATGGATTCAGGGTGGAGCTTAGGTGTGACGTCATGGATTCAGGGTGAAGCTTAGGTGTGACATCATGGATTCAGGGTGGAGCTTAGGTGTGACGTCATGGATTCAGGGCGGAGCTTAGGTGTGACATCATGGATTCAGGGTGGAGCTTAGGTGTGATGTCATGGATTCAGGGTGGAGCTTAGGTGTGACGTCATGGATTCAGGGTGAAGCTTAGGTGTGACATCATGGATTCAGGGTGGAGCTTAGGTGTGATGTCATGGATTCAGGGCGGAGCTTAATCGTGATGTCATGGATTCGGGGCGGAGCTTAGGTGACGTACATGTATTAAGGGTGGAGCTTAGTCGTGATGTCATGGATTCGGGGTGGAGCTTAATTGTGATGTCATGGATTTGGGGCGGAGCTTAGGTGACGTTCATGTATTAAGGGCGGGGCTTAGTCGTGATGTCATGGATTTGGGGCGGAGCTTAGGTGACGTTCATGTATTAAGGGCGGGGCTTAGTCGTGATGTCATGGATTTGGGGCGGAGCTTAGGTGACGTTCATGTATTAAGGGCGGGGCTTAGTCGTGATGTCATGGATTTGGGGCGGAGTTTGAACGGCTGCTACTGACTAAGGGGCGGAGCCTGGCTGCCAAACCACCCATACAGGGGCGGAGCATAGCCGTGACGTCACGGATTGTGGGCGGAGCCTGGCCTCCCAACCACCAATCCAGTGGTTGCAGAGCCCAACCCGCCACGTCATGGACAGAAGGGGGCAGAGCCTAACCCTCCCACAAGTGGGCGGAGACTAGTGACGCCGCCGCGGTGGGCGGAGCACCGCCCAAAGTGGGTAGGTCCTAAAGTTAGGAAGAGAGTCAGAAGTGTGTTGGTACTTGTGGAGTGCGGAGTGTGTCATGTGCTCCCTGGGAGTGTCGTAGCGCGTGCTACCCATGTGTCATGTCGCGCAGGAAGCAGAGCAACCCCAAGCCACTTAAAAGTAAGTCCTACAATGGCACATTTCGCCCCCTACTACCCCTCCCCCCCAGTGTAGCGCCGCTGCCACACCTTGTGTGACTACCACAAGTCGGTTTACCAGCAGTGGTGGGAAGTTGTGTCTGGTAGGGACGACTCTGTACCAGCAGTGGTGGGAAGTTGTGTCTGGCAGGGACGACTCTGTGCCAGCAGTGGTGGGAAGTTGTGTCTGGTAGGGACGACTCTGTGCCAGCAGTGGTGGGAAGTTGTGTCTGGCAGGGACGACTCTGTACCAGCAGTGGTGGGAAGTTGTGTCTGGTAGGGACGACTCTGTACCAGCAGTGGTGGGAAGTTATGTCTGGCAGGGACGACTCTGTACCAGCAGTGGTGGGAAGTTGTGTCTGACAGGGACGACTCTGTACCAGCAGTGGTGGGAAGTTGTGTCTGGCAGGGACGACTCTGTGCCAGCAGTGGTGGGAAGTTATGTCTGGTAGGGACGACTCTGTACCAGCAGTGGTGGGAAGTTATGTCTGGTAGGGACGACTCTGTACCAGCAGTGGTGGGAAGTTGTGTCTGGTAGGGACGACTCTGTACCAGCAGTGGTGGGAAGTTATGTCTGGCAGGGACGACTCTGTACCAGCAGTGGTGGGAAGTTGTGTCTGGTAGGGACGACTCTGTACCAGCAGTGGTGGGAAGTTATGTCTGGCAGGGACGACTCTGTACCAGCAGTGGTGGGAAGTTGTGTCTGGTAGGGACGACTCTGTACCAGCAGTGGTGGGAAGTTATGTCTGGCAGGGACGACTCTGTACCAGCAGTGGTGGGAAGTTGTGTCTGGCAGGGACGACTCTGTACCAGCAGCTGTGTAGAGCTTTCTCAGGCTGTGTCACCCGGTGTAGAGCTTTCTCAGGCTGTCACCCGGTGTAGAGCTTTCTCAGGCTGTGTCATCCTGTGTAGAGCTTTCTCAGCCTGTGTCACCCTGTGTAGAACTTTCTCAGGCTGTGTCACCCGGTGTAGAGCTTTCTCAGGCTGTATCATCCAGTGTAGAGCTTTCTCAGGTTGTATCATCCAGTGTAGAGCTTTCTCAGCCTGTGTCACCCGGTGTAGAGCTTTCTCAGGCTGTGTCATCCTGTGTAGAGCTTCTCAGCCTGTGTCACCTGTGTAGAACTTTCTCAGGCTGTGTCACCGTGTAGAGCTTTCTCAGGCTGTATCATCCAGTGTAGAGCTTTCTCAGGTTGTATCATCCAGTGTAGAGCTTTCTCAGCCTGTGTCACCCTGTGTAGAGCTTTCTCAGGCTGTGTCATCCTGTGTAGAGCTTTCTCAGCCTGTGTCACCCGGTGTAGAGCTTTCTCAGGCTGTGTCACCCTATGTAGAGCTTTCTCAGGCTGTATCATCCAGTGTAGAGCTTTCTCAGGCTGTATCATCCAGTGTAGAGCTTTCTCAGCCTGTGTCACCCTGCGTAGAGCTTTCTCAGGCTGTGTCACCCTGTGTAGAGCTTTCTCAGCCTGTGTAACCCTGTGTATAGCTTTCTCAGGCTGTGTCACCCTGTGTAGAGCTTTCTCAGGCTGTGTCACCCGGTGTAGAGCTTTCTCAGGCTGTATCATCCAGTGTAGAGCTTTCTCAGGTTGTATCATCCAGTGTAGAGCTTTCTCAGCCTGTGTCACCCTGTGTAGAGCTTCCTCAGGCTTTGTCACCCTGTTTAGAGCTTTCCCAGGCTGTATCATCAAGTGCAGAGCTTTCTCAGGCTGTATCATCCAGTGTAGAGCTTTCTCAGGCTGCATCATCCAATGTAGAGCTTTCTCAGCCTGTGTCACCCTGTGTAGAGCTTCCTCAGGCTTTGTCACCCTGTGTAGAGCTTTTCCAGGCTGTATCATCAAGTGCAGAGCTTTCTCAGGCCGTATCATCCAGTGTAGAGCTTTCTCAGCCTGTGTCACCCTGTGTAGAGCTTTCTCAGGCTGTGTCACCCGGTGTAGAGCTTTCTCAGGCTGTATCATCCAGTGTAGAGCTTTCTCAGGTTGTATCATCCAGTGTAGAGCTTTCTCAGCCTGTGTCACCCTGTGTAGAGCTTTCTCAGGCTGTGTCATCCTGTGTAGAGCTTTCTCAGCCTGTGTCACCCGGTGTAGAGCTTTCTCAGGCTGTGTCACCCTATGTAGAGCTTTCTCAGGCTGTATCATCCAGTGAAGAGCTTTCTCAGGCTGTATCATCCAGTGTAGAGCTTTCTCAGCCTGTGTCACCCTGCGTAGAGCTTTCTCAGGCTGTGTCACCCTGTGTAGAGCTTTCTCAGCCTGTGTAACCCTGTGTATAGCTTTCTCAGGCTGTGTCACCCTGTGTAGAGCTTTCTCAGGCTGTGTCACCCGGTGTAGAGCTTTCTCAGGCTGTATCATCCAGTGTAGAGCTTTCTCAGGTTGTATCATCCAGTGTAGAGCTTTCTC